ATTCTCTCAAAGGAAAGAGCATTAGATCGCACTCGAATGGAGTTCTGGACAGAGAGGATTGCATCTTAAACTGGTTTAGAAAGATCGTTGGTTCACGAGGTTGAGAAAACGGGTCAGCATTAAATCGGTTGGGACTGCAGGACTTCGACTGTAAGAAGGATGCGCTGACTTTAGTCTCATCAAGTGACAACAATGAAGAATAGACGGTTTTTACTGGATGTTTCCCGCGTAATGAATAACCCAAGTTTGCATGGATCTATGTCCAAAAATAGAAAACAGAAGATAGGCTAGTTCATTGCAGGATACAACATCCGAAAATCGAATAGCTACTGAATGATTTTCGGGTAAAATAAAATGCAGCCAAAATTTTGTTAGTTTATCATCTCACGCGTTGAATACCAATAATTTCCCAGGAGTCGAAGTTGAGTAGATGAATGCTGACAGTGTGGTCTTATGTTCTGACCATATTTTCGACCAAGTTTTTTTTTACCTCCGGAGCGAAAAGCAGCAAAATTCGAATCCGAGTCCCGAAAATGTTCACTCTATTGCACTCCAACGGTTTGCATAAAAAGCACTACCAGCATCCACTGAAGATGTTTATTACCCATTTCTGTGTCATTATGCTATTTATTTTGGAATCTGTAAAAGCACCCTTACTCTTTCTCTCTCGTTAATTTGATTATTTATTTGGCAGGTTGAAGATCGTCGCGTTCGAGCAGAAAATCTGGTACTTCGTCAACGTCAAATTATTGACGAGCTACGGTTGCAAATTAAAAAGATCGAGGCGGAGTCGAATCGGAAACTGGTAAGCTTGACCGATGCCCCCCCCTCACGCACACACACACACATTTGCCTCGCCTACCTCAGCACAACTAGGTGGATGCTTAAATCTTTGCCAATTTGTTTAGACTGTGAGTTCACGATCACAGTTACCGAATTCAGTGCCTGTCATATCGCACTCGCTCGGTTCGGGCCAAAAACAAACGGACACAGGGTTTGGAGCATCGATTCTTGCACTAAATTTCCCGTTGACCATCAACTATACCCGTTTCACTTTACACCACACGCGGCTGTGTGCAATCGATTTGGATAATCATCATCATATTTATCCACAAGTCCGTTGTTGTTATTGTTGAAATCCCGCCCTCTCCCCCACACAATCTGATTGTCCCGTTTCCTTCTGTGTACCTGTCGGCAACTCTTCGATTAGCCAAGGCATCCCTTCTGATTATACACATCCACGTGATACACATACGAGAACAGAGTGACTTTATGCACTGGCGGGCCGAATTCGCGTACTTCAAACTGTTTTCCAAGGTCGTTGTGGGTTTTATTGAGGAGGAATCACTTTCCTGACGATAATCTATCGCGACCGTTTACCCAGCGATGTATTGCTCACCTAGTCGTGGTTATCTCAAATGACCGCTATTTTCGCGACCAAGCGATGCATCCGGTACCGTTCTTGTTCGTTAGCATCCTTCCGAATATGCGAAGTCGTATGACCTTCAAGGAACCGGTTTCTATTACGAATACTTGTACATTTTTGTACTTCCAAACCGCGTCCCGGAATTTTGGAATCCCAATTAGTTAATTAAAAGAATGTTATTGATAATAATGTTTCTAGTATTGATGTTTACGTACACTTTTTGGTACCAGAACATTTGCTACGATAAAGTTGACTTTTTCTCACAAATAAAAACAATCATGTATTAGTTGATCGTCTCTGTCACTCCTTGATTGCTCCGCGAATCAGGTAATTATTTATACACAGAAAAAGATTTGATTAATTGATCTATTTTGCCTCAAGATCGCTGAATGACACATATAATTCTATAATTTCTTTATTTGGTTCGCGTACTTTTATCTTCTGGACTCTTCATTAAACAGGTAGAAACGGTTCGCAAATTGGAAATACGTTTTCGGGAACGCGACACAAAATTTGTGGATGAGTTGGTAGCTGAACGTGCCCGATTGATGACCGAGAACAATCAATTATCGAGACGGATACAACAAATGGAAGAGCTACAGGTACTGAACCGAATTGTTACATTTTTATGCTGTTTGTTGCCCTATGTGATAGCATGGAGGCTTGTGTTGGGGGGGGAGGACTGATATTCGAAAAATCTGACTAATTTCATTCAGTTGGTAGCAGTCAAACATGGCGTCCCAACCCTGTCTAATCGAGCGACAGTATTGCTCCATACTTTTGCAGAATATTGGCGACTATGGGGCTGATATCACTCTGTATGTGTTGTATGCTAAGGACTCAAATCGGAGCCATCCTGGGGTCACCCAGGTTCGGTTTAGAGCGAATAGAAACTAAGCTGTACCACTGCGGATATGGAGTGAAAGCATCTGTTTGCTGGGTTTGTGTTTCCGTTTCATTGAGTTGTGGTCAGATAGTCTGACGAAAATCTAAATGCCTTTCGGATTGGCTACGCATTAGATACGACTGGAAAACCCGCCGCTCGTGCTGTGGCTC